GGAACATACCTGGCCTATTGGAGGAAGAGCAAGGAAGCTAGTGTGGTTGGAAAGAGGTGAGTAAGGAAGAAAGAATAAGAGATGGGGTCAGAGAGGACACAGAAAGCCAGATGGTATAAGGCCTTTGGCTTTGACTGTGTCACATGGACAGCAGTGGGAGGTGAAGTGGGCACTGGGAGTAGAAAAACAACAGTACCATGCGTGCTGGTTTAGGCCACAGCCAGGGCACCAAGCACAGATGTAGTAAATCCAGATAGAGCATCAGGTTAAGGTTGCTTAAGGAACTGAAAGAGTACTAGGTTAGGGAGAGAGTGGAGCTGGGACAAAGAATAGAAACCCTCTTCAGCAGGAGGAAAGGATAAGAGAAAAGCTTTTGTCTCCTTCTTATCTAAAATATTCCACGTAATCCAGGGACCAATGGACAGGGACAGGACAGCCATGTTATAATGCATTTTAGTTCTCCATTTGTTGTTTGCATTGGCAGTAACTTCAATTGCTATAATTATAAGCAAACTTTTATAAAAATTATATTAACAATAAAATTTTATTATAAATACTTACGTCATAGTTGGAGACTTGCTTTTTAAAGATTATCCCATCGGCAGTATGTTATTTGTTGCCAAGCACCCATCTGTTTTGCATCTCAATATAAACTTTTTTTTTTAATCCTCACACCCATTTCACTGAAAGGCTTCCGGGTGGTGGTGGTGGTAAAGGTAGTGGTAGTTATTTTTGTTATTTTGATGAAAGTAAAGAATTCGCTGGGAAAGATGTGATTTATTTCAATTCCTCTTTTGCAGAGGCATTAATCAGCACAATTTCCTCAGGCACCAAAGCAATTATAAAGAAACTACCATTTTTCTCCCAATTAATGCTTCAGGCCTTTATTTGCTTATAATTTTCTCATCCCCTACCTCCTTAGCTTCTACTACCTGACTTCCAGTCCTACTATTTCATCAAATCTGCTCTCACTAAAGCTTCCTTCTTTATTCAGACTCTTCTAGAATTCATCATCACCTTGGACATTTATGATCACACTCTTATCCTTGGATGACACTCAAAGCTCATATTCCATAATACCTACAGTCTAAAGAGAGGAAAAGGACACTTACTGAAAACAAAGACCAAGAGGGGACAATACATATAAATAAACTTAGCTCATAAGTGCTCAGAGGCAGGGCTGAGTCACAGCAGATACTCAATTAGGATTTTTATTTTAAACCCAAGAAGAACCTTAGAAGTCCTTTAAGCCAATGCCCTCATTTTACAGATGAAATAATGACGTAAAGAAAGCATATCAGTTAGGATGTCTTTGGCTGCAAGTAATAGAAAACAGCAGCTCAATTTGGCTTAAACAATAAGGAAATATATTCTGCCACATAATATAAGGTCCAGACACAGTGTATTAGGGCTTCTACAGATGCTCTTCTCTACAGCTACTATGGCCACGCCACCTTCCATGCATTAGCTTTAGTTTCAGGATGTGACAAGAAGGTTCCAACAGTTTCAGGACTTAGAGCCCTGGAGTTGGGGGATGTGGGTGGCGGGGAGGTGGAAGGTGTGTCTCTTTCCTGAGTCTCTTTTCAGAAAAAAGCAAAGAAATCTGACTAAGAAGCCCTAAGAAGACTTTACCTCTTGTCACCTACACATTTCTAAAGCAATCACTGAAGAGAAATGGGATTCTAAGGCTGGCTTGATTTAAACCTTGGACTAATCACTTAGAGAAGAGCGAAATTACTTGGAGATCTAAGAGATAACTTGATTCTGAGGTTTGTCCTATTACATACATCTCTCAGAGTGCCTTTGCTTTTCCTGCTCATTGATGATGGATGCAGCTTTTCCCTCTTTTTGTTGTTGAATTTGTTGTTGACTTGTGACTTAGGAGATCCCATGTGTTACAGAGTAGATCTGCTCCACAAAGTTTTCTTGGCTGTAATCTTTATGGAAGCAGATCACCAGGCCTGTTTCTTCATCTGTGCTGCTGGGTGGATTCAGCCCGCCAACTTTTTGGTTACCAGCCAAGAGCACACCATTTGCACTACACAGGGAACTTCTTTCTTTTTGCAAACTTCTCTGAAGAGCTCATTTGTTCTTCTTTTTGTAATTATCTTAGGCTTCTGTGGAGGTAGCAGAGTAATAGCAAACACTGACTTTAGAGCTAGACTGCCTGGGTTTCAAATATCTACCACTTCTGTACGTATCACCTTAGACACGCAATTTAATCTCTTTCCTTGTCTTTAAAAGGGGGATGATAATAGAAGCCACCTCATAGAGTTGTTGTGAGAATTAAATAAGCTACTACATATGAAGTGCTCAGAACAGCGCCTGTTACACAGTAAGTCCTCTATAAGTATGTGCTATGATTATTTAGGGGCATCTGCTATTTTTGCCTGCCCAGCATACCTTCCCCTTTCTTTTGGTAAGTGCTCCAGTTTGCCTTTGAAGAACTACCCCTCCACCATGCCACATAGTCTTGGAAAAATTCTCAGTCAATATGGACTGCTTCCAACCCCCACTGGGCAAAGGATAGGCACATGGCCCAAGCTAAGTCAATCTTATTCTCTTTCCGTGGAATCTGAATCTTAAGCAGAATGATTCAAAGACAGAAAACATTTGGAATTCAGCATTTCTGATGTCAAGGCCTTGAAGAGGCTATTCCTGAGCTCCTGCCTTGTAGGTCCCAGGAATGGCCTTATTTCTTGTCCTTTACAAAATCTGATTAAACAAGTCTTCCTTTGATTCTGTTACTTATCCAGTACCTGTCTAATAAATTCCTTTTTTGCTAAAATTAGCCAAAATTGATTTTGATCGTTTGTATACTCATATGTTGAAAAAATAGGACTTTTCAAATTAAATCATAATGGAACTTGAATTTTGATTCTCATTGTCTATTTAAATCCATTCATGAGCCTGGCTCTTCTCCAGCCTCTGCATAGATAGCACAGCAGTTAAGAGAGTAGCTCTGAACTCAAACACTCTGGGCTCAAAGGCTAGCTCTACCTCCTGCTAATGGTGTTACTGAATGTCTCTTTGCCTCAGTTTCCTTAACTGTAAAATGGGGGAATAACAATACCTGCCTCAGTGCATGTTATGGATTAAATTCTGTTTGTGAAAGCTCTCCACTTAGGGTATTTCTGTTATAGCAATAGGTAATAAGACAGAATTTGGTACCAGAGAGTGGGGTGCTGCTCTAACAAATACCTAAACTATGGAAGTGGTTTTGGAATTGTGTGATGTGTAGAGGCTAGAGGAATTTTGATGTGCTTTATCAAATCTAGTAAGGCTCTAGATTGTCTTGCAGAGACTGCTGGTAGAATTCTATTACAGCCCTAGATAACTATGACAGAGTATTTCTGTGAAAATTAAATGACTTTCCAAATGTAAAATGCCTGGAAGTACACTTGGAACACAGTTAAGTCCTGAAAAATGTTAACAGAGTTGATGGTAGTGGTTGAAGGAGGTAGTGGTGATCCAGTAAGTTCGTCTTTTTTCCTTGCAACCCATCACATCAGGCCCTAATCATTCTTGTTTCCATATCTTTGCTCATACCAGCCCTCTCCTAATTCTAAATCCTTTAAGACCAAACTAATTCAAGTACCACCATTTCTACACTGATCTACAAAGACCACATTAACCTGATTCTTTACTTGTAGGAATTATAATCAGTAGCAGACACATTAGTCTTGATTTCATATCATTTCTGTTGTTTTCTAATTGTGCCTGTATGTGAATCGTGACTTCTGCTACAAGAAAAGTATTGCCTGAAGGCATGAATGATAGTTTACATTTATTTTATGTCCTTCATATTGCTTAGCCGAGAGTAAGGCTCACAGTAAATCTTTAATAAACAACCTTTGAGTGTTCCTCTAAACAGCTAAAAATATAACCAATCACAATTACTTCTGAGTGTCTACATTTTTATTGTAGTATAAGCATACAAAAATGACCAGGGTCCAGAACTTTTCTTTTTCTGCATCTTCCCTCACTAGTCCACACATACTGGGCATCCAATACATGTCGTTAACTGGCTACAAAACAGCTGAAAACTCCAGGAGCTTAAAATTAATTCCAAATATGACAGGAAATTCCAAATGTATTTGTAACTGTTTAGATTTGAACTATAATGTGGAAACGTTCTTTAAAAAAAAAAAAAAAAAAAAACTTGGAGATAAGGGAAACAGATACTTAGACTTTTTTCCCCTTCTAATACATTTCCTCTTTTCATAAGAATTGTTGATGAAGGATAAAACAGAGAAGGTGACTACTGTATCTTCTTAGTGTCATGTTTCTGAAGAAATGGGCTTTTATTTTTGAAAGTCTGCATAACTTAAAGAGCACCATGTTCTTTCTCTGACTTCTCAAGGCCTGTGAACAAATATACTTAGAAATAAAAATTTCTCCCATTGATGCCCAAGAGCATATCATTTACATATAAAAAGATGGCACTGTTTCATAGCTATGTGGGCTGCTTTACAGTCACATGAGAAAGTCAACTGGGAAAAAGAAATTGAGTGAGCCTATACTCAATTTCGAAACCCTGGTGCCATAGTGGTTAACAGCTATGTCTGCTAACCAAAAGGCTGGCAGTTTGAATCCACCAGGCGCTCCTTGGAAATCCTAAGGGACAGTTCTACTCTGTCCTATAGGGTCATTATGAGTCAGAATCAACTCGACAGGGTTTGTTTTTTTGTTTTTTATATACTCAATTTCATGTGAAACGGAGATGCAGGAACTGACTCATTAGACTGATCCTGGGAACAAGCTTATATTACATCTAAACGACACTTCTTTAAAATTCCATACTTTGTGGCTTATTGTTATGTTTAACAGGGTTACTTCAAGACTAAGAAAAAAAAGTGCTGCTTTCTAAATGCTCTCCAGTATGACTTTTCCAACCAGACTAACTCTTCATTGTCTCCTTTCTACAGGAACATTCAGTTTGGGAGAGAAAGAAAGGGGAAGAGAGAGGAGGAGGAAAGAAAAAAAGCTACATTTCTTACTTGGATTGTGCGAGACAGCCTGGTGCAACCATATTGTGATTCTCCTCCTTGGCCTGGAGTGCAGTGAGCTCTACCATGTTGACCATCACATCGTTAGTGTGGCCTGGAAGCTGGGGAAGCACTGAAATTATCTTCTCTACTAAATTGTCTCCATGATGTCCAACTGCCCCTGTTTAAGCAGACAAGAAAATATAAACTCTTAAAATAGGAGGAAAAATTAAGCTGGATAAATATTTTATAATGTAACTTCTACTAAAAACAACATTTTTTGTTTATTTGTTTCTGATATACAAATCAGTAATAGAAACCTAGTATTTTGCCCTTTGTAACACTGATTAAACTCACAATTACCTAGTCACTGTCTGGCTCGTGTGTTGAACTCAGTGCTTCATGAGGGCAGACATCATGTCTGCTCTGGTTACTCCTATGTCCCCAGCACCTAGCACAGTGCCTGCATGTGGTAGGCATCAATAAGTATTTACTGAGTAAATCAATAAATGACCAGCATATAGTCAGATAGGTAAATAATGTTATAGGATAATACTATACCAAAATTTTAGAACCGAAAAGAATTTCTTCCTTTTACTGATGAAGACACTAAGACCCAGAAAGGCTTAGAGATCTAAAGGCAAAACTTGTTAATAGCAGAGTTCCCTGGGCTAGAATCTAATCTTCACAATAGCAAAGACTGTTTATCTTGTTCTACTTGTACCCACTGTGCATAGCATGGAACTTGGCAGCTAGTAGGCTCTCACTAAGTATTTTCTGGACAAAGGAAAGTATGAATGAATGAATGGTGACAGCTTGCAATAATAGGCTGCATTTATTGAGTGCTTTCTGTGTGCCAGGCACTGTTCTAGGTGCTTTACACGTATTAATTCTTTTAATAACAAATGAGTTAATGAGCTGAAATTGAAATTCAAGACCAATGACACAGTTCATGCTTTTTCCACAAAATCAAGTAATTTCCTAAAAAGCCATTATTGCTTGCAAAATAACACTCCAATGATGGGTGGGACTTACCACATCTACTTGTTTCAGTCCCACTCACTTCAAATTAATTACGATTTTGCTTTCTAATCTCTCTCTCTCTCAATTTTGCCATGTTATATCAATGGGACAGAAGAACTAGGGGAAAGGCCAAACCAGGAACCCAAGGAACCATCATCATCACTATCACTGTCATCACTGTAGCTAATACTTACTGAGGGCTTATGATATACTGGAGTCCTGGTGGCGCGGTGGTTAAGAGCTCGGCTTCTGACCAAAAGGTCAGCAGTTTGAATTCACCAGCTGCTCCTTGGAAGGCCTACAAGGCAGTTCTACTCTGTCCTATAGGGTCGCTATGAGTTAGAATCGACTCGACGGCAATGGGTTTGCTTTTTTTGGTTTTGTTATAATATACCAAGTACTAAGTTCCATACTGTATATTATTATCCACTTAATTCTTACAGCAACTCCAATAGGTAGGAATTATTATGCTCTTTTACAGAGTAAAAGATTTAGTTTAAGTCACTTGCTCAAGATCACGTAACTTGTAAATTATGGAACAACAATTCAAACGGGGGGGGGGGCAAACAACTCCAAAAACCATGATCTTAGTTAGGAAAAAAAAAAAATCAGGCCCACAAAAGTGACGTAAAACAGAGACAGCATGAGTGCGTCTTAAGGTGACTTGTGATGTTAAAGAAAAGGCTTTTTGTTCCATCAGTGGAATATTCATTTCAGTAATCTGCAAGAAACCATGTTTTATTTATGTTGTCTGTGGTTTATGGTTTTCTCCCCAGCACTCAGCCCAGGAGCTGCTCGTTAAATACTTGCTGAATGAATGCTTACCGATTGTAAGTGGCCCTGGGATCCAAAGAGGGTCAGAAGTCTAAGTGAATTATGTCCTTATGTCTTTAAACTAAGCCTGGAATGGAGATACTAGGATTACCTTATAGCATATCTCACTCCCCTAGTTCCCGCCTCCCTTACTAAAAACTTTTATAAACATCCACTTGCCTTCCAAATAAATTTTCTTTGAACTTGGTGCCCAACTTCCAGTCCCTATCCCAAACTATTCTTATTTTTCTTCAACCGCTCACAGACACATGACATAAGCAAGTATTCTATATCTGCTGCCTTTGTTTGCTAATATCTTTCACCTCTATAATCTGGCTGCTGCTCACTCCTCCTGACCCCAAACTCCGAGGTTTTTGGCAATCTCAGTTTATTAAACCCTCTGCAAATTGAAACTGTTGACTAATCCAGCCCTCTTTAAACTTTTAAATATGAGATGACATGATATTTTTTATTAATGTATAACAGTCAAAAGTCACTTTTACAGAATCAAAATAGCTTTTATATCCTAATATCCTAAATGCTCAAACTAAGGGAATAGTTAAGAAAATCATGGTATATTTATGGAAGCAATTCTCAAATTGTGGTTTTTATTCTCTTCTGTTAATCTGTATCTTCTAAAGTTTCTATGGTGAACGTATATTCCTGTTGTAATAAGAATAAAAAAATATATTACACACACAAATATCCCAAAATTTAACAAGAGTTACCTTTGAATGGTAAGGTTACATTGATATAAACTCTACAGAAACTTCTTTTTCTCCCAATGTTATTCACAAGAAATATATAAAGCTTGCCTAATTAAAAAAAAAAAAAGGCCTCTTTAAAGTGTTAAAAAGCGAAGATATCACTTTGAGTACTAAGGTGCACCTGACCCAAGCCACGGTAATTTCAATCGCCTCATGTGCATGCAAAAGCTGGACAATGAATAAGAAAGACCAAAGAAGAACTGATGGCTTTCAATTATAGTACTGAGTTTTTCCACTGGTGAAGAATAATGAATATACCATGGACTGCCAGAAGAATGAACAAATCTGTCTTGGAAAAAGTACAGCCAGAATGCTCCTTAGAAGCAAGGATGGTGAGACTTTGTCTCACATAGTTTGGACATGTTATCAGGAGGGATCAGTCCCTGGAGAAGGACATCATGCTTGGTAAAGTAGAGGGTAAGAGAAAAAGAGGAAGACCTTTGACGAGATGGATTGACACAGTGGCTGCAACAATGGGCTCAAACATAGCAATAGCTGTGAAGATGTCACAGGACAGGGCAGTGTTTCATTCTGTTGTACATAGATAGGGTCGCTATGAGTCAGAAGCAAGTCAATGGCACATAACAACAATAACAATTAAAAAAATAAATTACATTCCATCAGAAACTGTTTAAAGTATCACATCAGAGAGAATTAACAAAATGCCAACTTTACATGACCACAATTACTCAGCATCATAGATTTAGTCAAAAGGATATCAGTATCTAACATCTTTGATAACAAATCAAAAGGATAAAGCAGGCATGGGCTTTCAACTCTTTGTCCTGCTCTGCTCTGAATACAGTTTCTCACATATCTAGCTTTACAGAGGTCAATATTCATTTTCTAAATTTAATCAGTACCATTTATATGACTCAAATATAGACTAAACATCTGATGCCTCTCAATGTCACAGTAAACATCAGATTATCCTTTTACAAAATTTTTTTAAAAAGTCAAGATCTACATCACATTTAAATTTTCAAAGGGCTTAATTTTTCTTTTATTCCAGAAATTTAAAAACATTATCTGAAAAGTTCTAGAGTGAAAGTCAACTACAACTCAATTATTTCTTCCCTATCTAACTTTTAATCTGACAAACAGCTATGCAGTCAGTCCCCTTGTTTGGATGGAGAATGGTTCATTTCCCAAAGCCATCTTTTCATAGAAGTGTAGGGAAAAAAAAACAGGAGATCTGGGCTTAGCATTTCTTTCCTCCACCAGCTCCTTGTGTATCTGGGGCAACGTCTATGACTTTGTACTACTTTAACACAAGAACAAACACCAGCTGTGACTCAATTTCAACTCATGGCAACTGCAGGCATATTACAGTAGAACAGTAGTGCTCCACAGGGTTTTCAATGGTTGATTTTTCAGAAGTAGATTTCAGGTCTTTCTTCCGAGGCACCTGTAGGTGGACTCAAATTGCTAACCTTTTGGTTAGCAGCCAAGCTTGTTAACCATTTGCCACCCAGGGACTCCATGCTATTTAACCAATCTAAAAACTCAGGGTTGGACTTCCAGGCAACATGGCATTATAGTAAGAAGCACCATGCCGTACCTCCACAGCAAAGATGCGAAAAACTAAGTCAAGAGTCATACATCAATCCTGAAACCCTAAGCATCAAATGAAGAGATAAAGAACCCAGCCAAGCACCAAATGGAATAAGAAACTGACCAAGAACAGAGAGTGAGGAGAGATACATGCAGAAGTCCCCTATCAGCTACTGCAGCAGAGATCCGCCATCTTGGACTCCTATTGGAGATCGGCAAATAAGGGGTACGAGAAAGCAGCTTCACGGAGCTTCCAGCAGGAGACAGAACAACTGGCAACCAATGATATACGCTTTCCCACCCCCTACCATTCTTCACCCTCACTTGGCCTCCTCTGCTTCCTGAGGCCACAGTCTCTTGGCCAAGTAGCACTGGCTTCATCCTGGTATCACTTGGATTCCACTTGCCCGTACTCGCCAGCTCCCTGAGTGCCATTTGTTGGCTGCTGGTGTTGCTTTTTTCCACTTCATTAAATTTCTTCCTTACCTCTCATCACCTACCCCTCCTTTCTCTCAAATACCTGGCTCCATGGCCATCTTTGTTTCTTCCTGGGGGACTGTGAGGCGCTGCATGACTGTTGAACTGCTTCCTGGCCTGGGTCACCATGCTGGTGGGACCCCCGGGCTTTTTTTGTTTGTTTGTTCTGATTTGTTGTGTTTTGATTTGTTTGATTGTTTTCTATTTCTTTTCTCGGCTTGGGAGCCCCTTCTGGCCAGGCAGTGCCATGCAGCTTGGGAGATACTCCCTTACTCTGCACAGATGCAAAGTATCATACCTGGGGGCATTTATTTTTTCTTGTTTTTTTTTGTTTTTGTTTTTGTTTTTTTTTGGGGGGGGGTTGTTTCTTTGTTTTGTTTTTTCCTCTCTCTTTTTCCCTTTTTTGTCTTTCTTTGTTTCCAGTTTCTTCATTTATTCATTTTAACCCTTTATTCTT